GAGGGCGGCTGACGGGGAGGGCAGCCGCGACCATGTGACCCGCGCGCACACACCCCCCTCCCTCCGCCCCTCGGCCGGCCGCTGCAGCGACTCCGCCCCCTCTCCGCGCCTGGTCTCCCCTTCCCTGCTCCCCTCCTTTTCCTCCGCTTCTCCTTTCCTTCATTCCCCTCCCTCTCCTATCCCCCATTTTCCTTCTTCCCACGTCTCCTTTCCCCTCTCTCCCTTTTCCCTGGCTGACCTTCTCATCTCGGGCTGGGAGCCTTCTCCATGCCCCCCTGCACCTAGTGACACCTCAGATCATCTGGGATGGTTACCAAGGACCGCCTCGTGGCACTGAACAGAGCAGCTTTTCAGGACCCCGGGCTGGGCTAGCTCGGGCTACTCCAACCCCTGACCTCTAAACGGTGGACTCTTGGACAGCCCATTTCTCTTCTCTCTGCATCCCTGGGTGATTTCATACAATCCCAAAGCTTAAATAGGCCTGTGTTTTGAAGATGGCCAAATTTACATTTCAAACCGAGACCTCTTCTGAGCTGCAGATGCTTACATCTAGCAACCTTTTTGATTATGCCCCCTTGATGTCCCTTAGGCATCTCAAGTTTAAGATGTAGACAGATGTATGCATGTATCAAAACTCAGTGAATGCACACTTAAGATTTGTGCATTTCACCTTGCATGTAAATTTTACTTGGAAAAAAAACCTGGAAGCAAATGATGTGTGCTGAGTTATGCCGAGGGAAGTGCACTGATGTCTGCAATTTAAATGCATTACAAAAGCAAGATGGGCTGATGGATGGAGGCATGGGTAAATGGATAAAAGGATACTAAGATGTTAGCTGTAGATGTTGTATATAGATATTCATTGTAAAATTCCAATTTGATCTTCGAAAATGTTCAGTATAAAATGGGGGAAATGTAATATGTAAGGCATTTTTACATGTACAACACTCCTTCCCCATGTCAATCTTTACTATTTCGGTAAATCTGCCCGTTCCTGAAGCCAAATTAGGTGTTCTCTCTCTCTTCCTCCTCCTCCCCTCCCGTTTATTCTATTCGATCCATTAACAAATCTCAACTACTCTACCTTCATAATAGGTCTTTAACCTCTATGCTTCGCACCACCATCATTTCTTGTCTGGGCTAGTAGTAGTTCCCGGGAAACTGCTCTTTGTATCCACTTACAGTCACTACTCCCCGAAGTCATTTTTTTTTCTTAATGCAAATGAGATCTTATTATTCTGCTCAAATCTTCCAATAGCTTCTCATTGCACTGTGAAATAATCAAATGCTTTACTCTACCCTGCAAAGCCCTGCTCAAACCGTAGGCCCTACTTCTCTTTCCCAGGCTCTCTTGCCACCCTCTAAACACGGTACTCTAACAGCAGTGGACCTCTTCTCTTCCCCACCTCAGGGCCTTATCACTCTGTGTGATGCTGATGCAAGAATTCCCCAGGCTACACTTTGTTGCTTGCTTTTTCCACTTTATGTATCAACCACCATCTGCTTCTGCATGAGTAAAATGAGGTCAATATGAACAGTCTAGAAAACAGGGGAAAAAATCATAAAAAGGATACCACTCTAAAACTGTATGGTTCTGACTGTATGACATTCTGGAAAAGGCAAAACTATGGAGACAATAAAAAATATTGCCAGGGGCTAGGGAAAGGGAGAGATGTAAAGACAACAGAGGCATTTTAGGACAGTGAAACTGTTCTATACACTACTGAGGTGGAAATATGTCAAATGTACAACACCAAAAGTGAACCCTAATAGAAACTATGGACTTTTGATCATTACAATATGTCAACATAGGTTAATCTGTCGTAACAAATGTACCACTGTGGTGAGGAATATTGATAGTGGGGGAAGCTGTGTGTGTTTATGGGGACCGAAGGTATATGAGAACTCTCTATACTTTCTGTTCAATTTTGCTGTAAAACTGCTCTAAAAACTAAAGTATTTTAAAAAGTGGCAGAGAAAGAGGATACTACCATTTACATTTGAAAAGAAGAGTGGAAGTGAAAATAAGCCACTGAAAAGGTATTAAGATCCACTTTTTCATCATAATGCCTATGAAATAAAATCTGTGTCTATAAATATGACGTACTTTGAAGGCCACTTCCAACCGGTGAGGCTTGTGGGGAACTATCAGAGGCTGTAAAGCTATAACCGAGGTCAGTCCCCAGCCACACCAATTGCTCCTGTAAGCGCGTTGAGCACGTCAGTGCCAGAGGAGGATGCTGAACAGCACCTGGTTAGACAGTCCCCGAGTGCAGTACCTGCAGTGGAAATTGCCTTTTGCTCTTGTCATTCCAAAGAGCCTCATTTATTAACCCTGTGGAGTCTATGGCTGCGTCTGTAAAAATTCTCAGACTACTCATAGAGAATTTCTACCTACTCCACCTTCCTCTTTCCTCTGTACAAAATAACCTTTGAATGAAGTGACTGTGTCTTCAAAAGTCATCTGTTAAAAAATGCAAATTATTTCTTGGGAAAACTACCTTAATAACCTTTATATTCCACTAACACCAGGGCCCTGAGAAACTGAACACAAGATAGGTCAATCTGAATGTGGATAAAGGAGGAAAGAACCTAAATGTTAAGAGTCCTCTAATCTCAAGATCAGGCACAATAGGCCAAGGCGCTCCAGAGTGAGGACCTGGATGAAGAAGAGGTATTGGAGAAAAAGAGAAAGGAAAAAACAGGGAGTTTCTTTAAGGTCAATTAAAAGCATGTAAGGTCACTCATCTAAAAATGTTCTAATGAATATTGCTAGTTCCCAATACCACAATGACATTCTACTTAAACTTTACAACAAAGTACTTTTTTGTGGTCTGTATTTATTGATACTTACCTATTAGAAATGAAAACAAAAGAATGCACAGCATATATGTCACAGCTCAGTGACATCATCACATGTCAACAAAAACAGCTTTGTCAGTTTCCTCTGCCACAGCAAATCACAGTTGCTATTCATCATAATATTTGTTTTACCTTCTTTGTCTCTTTTTTTCTTTACTCTTTTGACCATAGTACCAGCTTCTATATCATCTCCCAATTCTGCATCAAAGTTTGCCCCTATTGTAAGTTCAAAGTTTTGTCTATGCTTACTTTTTAACTAGAAAAATATTCTAATTACATTATCAGTAAAAGATAAACGCGTCAACTTAATTACCAATTATGACTTACATAGGTATCACTAGGTAAATCATGTCTTCTCATTTTGTTTTCATAAAATATTCAAATAAATATATTACAGTATTCTCTGCACTTAGAAATACATCATTCAGACTGAATCAAACCATCAATACCAACAAGATCAGTGATGTGTTTATCTGCAATACTAGAAATGATGCACACATCCAACACACACTACAATGCAATATCTTACAAGAGGCAGTGTTTAGAGCGAAATATATAGTCCTACCAAGAGTCAAGTTGTATTTAACAGGAAAATATTTTATACTGTTCCAGTCTTTACACTTAAATTTAAGTTAGTTAAAATTAAATAAAATTTAAAATGTAGTCCCTCAGTTGAACTAGCCATGTTTCAAGTGTCAATAGTCACATTTGACTAGTGGTAACCATATTGGTCATTACAGATTTAGAGCCTTTCTTACTTTTCCTGAATCGGCATAATAATTATTCTAGATTGTCCACATTGTATAAGTTTTCAAATTTATTGAAATAAAGTTGTTTACATTATCTCTTTAATCTCCACGGGTTCTATAGCTCCTCATTCTTAATTTTGTTTATTTGTGTTTTTTTCCCCTTAATAGGTGCTACTAGAGATGTATCTATTAGCTTTTTCAAAGGCTGAATTTTTAGCTTTATCGACCCACTGTATTTGTTTTCAATTTCACTGATTCTGCTCTATCTTGATCTCCCTCCTCCCATTCTCTTTTACTCTGATTTTTCTAATTTCTTAATTTGGACATTTATCCTACCAATTTTGCTTCAGTTGTCCAGAGTCAGATTCTCCTATAACTAAGGAAACCTCACTGATACAACTGCTTTAACTCCTTCTCACCTATTATAGAGAATATTCCAGTTAGTGCTGCTGTGTAACAAATCACTCCATAACTCAGAGGTTTAAAACTGCAGCAATCATTTTACTATCTCTGGGTCAGCAATTTGGGGAGCTCCTGACTGGGCATTTCTAGCTCAGGGTTTCTTCTCATCTGTGGCAATCAGAAAGTAGGTGGAGCCAGAACATCAGGGGGCTGGAGCAGCTAGAAGCTAGTATAGCCTTTCTCTCTCTTCGGGTAGTTAGTTGCAAGGCTTCTCCACATAGTCTCTACAAATGGGCTGCTTGGGGCTCCCTGGAAGCATGGTGGCCTGAGGAAAGTCAGACTACTTACAGGGCAGGTCAGGGCTCCAGTACATGACAGAAGTTGCATCACCTTTTCTGAGCAAGCATAGAAAGTCATGCAACATCAATTTTGCTGCATTATTGGTTACAAAGGAGTTAGAAGCACACCCAGATTGGAGAGTGGGTACATAGACCTCATCTCTTCATAAGAAGAGCATCAGGGTCATATTCTGAGTAGCATATGAGATATAATATATTGGCTACCATTGTTCAAACAGGGAACAAATTTAAAAAATAACACATATACACAGTCCACCTTGACTTGGGGACCATCTTACATCAAAGCTTTAAGATTTTTAGCCCCTTTATATGGCAGCATTTTCTAAGTGTTGATATAAGGAGAAAGGAGATCGAGAAAGAAGTTAGTCAGATAACGAGTGGGATAAGAAAGGTCTCCACACCACATGATGGTTCCACTCTATTTTTTGGTTTATTCTCTGTGCAGTTGAAGGTCAACGGAATGATATTTCAAATACATATCCAGTCTGTTGTCTATTCTGAGTCCTTTATTGTCCAACATCAATAATACTTTATGGCATTGGACTGTAACT